AAAAGTAAAAGACGTTCTCTCAGATTTATCTTTCCAGCCACTGCTGTATGATCGGTTCAACTAAAGATATTCCTCTGTTTTATTTAGGTAGTTTTCAGAGAAATACTGGTGTCCAGTTATTCACATGAAACAAAATCTAAGGCTAAAGGCCAAGTCTGACAAGCCTTCAGATTTAAAACTGCTTTAGAGGATGAATAAGAGCATGTTCGGTGTGTACATTTACTGCAGAAAAAGTCTTACTGTCATCATCTTCCCTCCAGCTCCCCTTCATGTCATACTCCTGTTCCAGGTTCGGTGGCTCTGAGGCGGTCAGATGCTACAGCTCAGGACGCTTCATCCGTTCATGACACCTGAAGAGTGTAAACAGGTGGATAAGAGACAGGGGCTGCAGGTTTCTACAGCTTTAACTTAATCATATATCCAGATGCCAAAGGACTGGAGCTGGTTCTGCTGTGCCAGTTAAAGAGACTTCAAACTGTCAAAGGATCAAAAGCTTGTATTGGCAGCTGGGTCAGATGTGTCAACTGTCCTAAGTTATTTCTTTACCTTGTGCCAGCCTGGACAAAAAGCTTTCAGATGCTCCATGACAAATGAGACTGTATGATACGACGGAAAGCTCCAGAAAAGCCACTAAATGGAACTTGTGATGAGATTGTTTTCTCCATATTATTATTAGTTGCAGACTTATTTAGAAGTCAAAATAAAACCCATCCGCCCTGTTTAAACATTGATAGTAAAGAAATGACATTCAAACACTCATCACTAAAAAGATCAGCAGAGGAAAATAAAGGGAAAAACGTGACAGACTTCGCGTGTGTATCAACACTGATCAGGTGTTAATGTTAACGTTACCTGGCCACGTGGTTTACATTGTAAGGAACCAACACAACTTTGTGTCCCTGCAGTGTTCTCATTTATCTTCATGGTGTCAAACCAGACACAAACACCAATAGGAATGATTATAACAATAAACTAAATCCAACCCTTGTACGTCCCATTCATATATTATAACAGATGGATACCGAATCACAAGATGGAGACCATTATTCCCACGGATGTATTAAAGGGAAAAGAGAGGAGATTTTTCAATGTCTGTACTGTGTTTTTTATAATGTTAACACATTCATTTATTCTATTTATTTTCCCCAATGAATGTTGCTCGCGTGCCGGACATGGCAAATTTGTTTTTCTTCCGCTGTGTGGGTTCCACTGCACATGCGCACTAGGGGGCGGTGGGGGACCGCGGCCGAACTTTCTCAGGCTCCAGCCTTGCAATATCTGCTGTGCAGACACCAGAGTAAAAATCACATGCGATTACAAACACACCTTTCTTCTAGACACCCCTTTATTAGCAGATGGAATTCCCCACAAGGCGTTTTACAAATGATGAACACATTCATTAGCACTTTTCTTCTATTATTTCAGACTCTGTGTGTATGTACATGCACATGTGTGTCTGTGGATCTGTTCAGGTTTGGTTGCTTAAACCGGCTCCTGTGGAGTGTTGACCATGTCCATCCAGTGCTGCAGCTGAGGGCCTCTGGCGTACATGAAGGGCCCTAACACCAGCACTCCCAGTAGGACTGGAGGCTCTGGGAGAAAGATATATGAATATCACTGTGTCAGTGTTTTGGATCTTATCTACAGCGATATTAGGGGGGCGCCCTGCCCCCCCTTGAAGGTCAAGTTAATTTTATTTAATTTTATTTTCTATATAGCGCCAGATCACAACACAGAAAAATGTATGATGAAGAAAGCAGTGAAAGGTGAGGTGAAAGTTAGGAGATGAAAGTTTACTCAGGTTAAGCACACCCATGCTTTTTATTCTCTTTGCAATAAAACTTACACAAGTAAAAAGCCAGTCAGAGTAATTCAAGATTCAAGACTTTTATTTGCCATTTATGCATAAACAGAGTCTAGGCATATAGGAATTCTTGTGCAAGTCAAATAAAGATTTTAAAGCCAAAAGAATGAACACCTAGTCTTAAGTATAACATCACCCAAGAATACAAAATACAAAAACAAGAATACAAAATTCTTGATTGATCAAAACATCATGACTCCATGGCTAAGTGAAGCCTGAAGTACGGAGCCTCCTAAAACCAGCATGGTGGCAACACAGAGAAACCTTTACATGAAATTGTAAAAGTTACTTACACAATTTTACAGGCCATGAACATGGGAGTTTCTTAGAGTAGCTGAGCCAGCTCATCCTCTCCTCCTCCTCCTCCTCCCTCCTCTTCACTGTCTTTCAATGCAGCTCTCAGTCTGACCCAGAAAGATTCCTGCTCTTGTGGCTTCTCAGGCCATAGTAGATAGGTCTTCCTGTGAACAATCTTGCGTAGGCGTGTGTAGGGAGACAGATAGTGTTCAGGTATGTCCTCCAGGAACACCAGCAGTAGGACATCACTGCCATCACACAGAAGCCTCAAACTGGCCAACTGAAACTCCATAGAGCACCACTCGCTGTGCAGGAAGTGATGTGTCACCACACAGATGGTGTGGCGAGAGCTGTAGATGGCTGTCTCGATATTCTCTAGAACAGCAGTGCCGGGGCGGAAGTCTCTATGGTGGAGGCACAGTCTGAGTCTCGACGCACCAGCAGGTGGCCTCTCTAAATTGTGCACCAGCTCTCTCATCACCCAGGACTCATCCTTAGCACTGTAGGAGATGAATGCATCATACTGGAATTTGGACCTCACTGCCAACCTACTTCCACGTAGTTTGGCCTTGAGGATGAGCAGCAGGTAGCGCAGAGCGGGGCCTTGTGTGTGCCAGGCCAGACACACACATACAAACAACACATCCATCACAGAAAAGGTGATGAAGAGATTGAAAGAAATGTTTTCATAGGAGCAGGCCGTATCATCAAATTGCCACAGATAGGGAGATTTCCTGTCGTTGTCACAGTGGAGGTTGTACAGGTAGGACACCTAGTGGGAATTTAACAGGACAAAACAAGAAAATGTCATCATTTGAACTGTCAAAGAAAGTTATAGCCATGTACTTTAAGTTGATTTATGGCAGTGCCTGCAGCTTCACTTCTGTACCTGTGTATTAGGGTTATGGATGGACCAACTCTTGAACCAGGCATTTTCACAGGTACAGGTGAGTGGGTTGTCTGAAACAACCAAAGTACGCAATCTGGAAACACAAACATACACCAAGGTTGACTGTTTAGCTTCCCCGCTGTCAACTTAAGGAAATAGAAGTGGTGTTGTATTACATAATGCATATTGTAGAAAATAGAACAAGCTGTGTTTGTAGCTTTCTGGGAAGGCACATTTAAGTTGCACTCAGGAAGAAGCTGGTGCTGAACAACTTAGCTGCATGTTAACAGTGTTCTGCACCACTTCCTGAGGCCCTGAAAGCGCTAAGCATGTGAAAACAGATTAAGTAGTGTTACATTCACACCTTTTTTGGTATGAAAGGTGAAATTAAAATTGGACTTTGTTGAATAGGTGTTATTGACAAAGACAGGCATTGCAGGATCTGTTAGACCTACGTCTTCAAATAAGGAAAGAAAACTTGGTTTGAGGTCATATTTTGACAGTTGGACAATATAAATGAATTTGACCATCTTGTGAGATTCATCCTGCTGTCTGGACTACTGGGCTCACTAAGAAAGTTGGTTATGTTTCTTAAAACTAAAGCAGGGGGTGTTGTACAGTCATGAAAGATGTCAGGGTTAAAAATCAGTGAGACAACCATAAGAAATATACTTATACACCTCCGTAGCAAGTGTTACATGAGAAGACTGGTGCCAGTCTCAAGTCTGTGGTAACCATGAAGCTGCCACCAGCCACTGATTAGCTTAGTTTAACATAAAAACTGGAAGTGGAGAAACTAGCTTTGCTGTGTTTTTACAGCTTAAAACACAATATAGAACTTATTTAGCCATTTCTCTTTGAATAAGAGCTGCTGGTGGTAGCTTCAAATTTAGCTTACAGATGTGAGAGTGTTTTTTAAGCTTGGTGAGGAAACATGCTGTTCAAAATGTTGGATGTTCCTTTAAGAGCTGCTGTACATTTCACTAGCTCCTCTACTGTACCTTGGCAAAGCATCCAGCATCGATTTGTCCACAGTGTGGAGGTGATTTGACTGGACTTTAAGTATTTCCAGTGTATTATCTGGAGGCATGAGGTTAGCAGGGAGCTTATCTAGGTCTACTCTGTAAAGAGTCAGCCTCTTCAGCCTTTTCAGAGGGAAGAACGCTGCACTCAGGTTAGTCGTTTTCATATTCACTCCTGCTATGTACAGGAACTTCAATTTCACCAGAGGAACAAAGGCATCAGGATGGAAGTTGGCCATGATAGTGTGCCCGATAGCAATTGAGGTGAGATGACCTAGACCTTGGAAGAAATGGGGTCCTATATTCCCAATGCCTTGAGCTCCAGGACCCTGGTAGTTCATCTCCAAAAACTTCAAATTAGACATAGGAAATAAACAGATACAAAAAGATTTATTCACTTAGTGCATTACTTGAAGAACATAGTGTAACTGCATCAAAGAAATGTATTTACCTCCAGAGAAGTCAGGTTGATGAAAGGTGCTTCATTATACCTGAAATGGAGCTGGTTGTTGTACAGAACAAATTTCCTCAAATGCATAAGCCCAGACAGGATAGATGGCGTCAGCCTCCTGATGCGGTTCCCACTTAAATCCAAGTATCTAATTGATTAAAAGTTGTATTAAATAAATGGACAGAGAGGAAAGATGACTATAAAAGCAGAGAATACTCAATACCTGAGACTCGTCAGGTCTTGGAAGGAGCCCTCTTCAATGTAATAAATGATGTTCAAACTGAGGTTGAGCTTCAGAAGGCTGCACAGCTTACTGAAAGGCTTCTTGGTGATGTATTTTAGGAGGTTGAAGTGCAAATATAGCTCCTTAAGTTGGGTGAGGGCACTGAATGCCTTTGGTGGCAACTCAGTGATTTCATTTTTTGGGAGAGACAGGCAAGTTAGCTTCTTCAGAGGAATGAACCACTTAGGGTCAATGGCGCGAATTTTGTTCTTGTCAAAGCTCAGAAAGCTGAGATCGGGCAGGTCCTTGAAGGTGTCCGGCTGAATGACAACCTTATTTTGGTTTAGCTGCAGAAATTCCAGTCTTTGGAAACCGTGAAATGTAGTGCGAGATATCCGCTTCAACCCACAGTTGATTAGATATAGTTTGCTTGTGTTACCTGCACCCAGTGACAGCTGGGCAACATTTCCAAGGTTTGCATTCTTAAGAATGACCACTGGGGGAGTGGCACAGTCCAGCAGGCTGGAGTTATGTTGGGGTAGTCTGGATCCTGTCAAGTCAACCTGTATCAAGTTAAATTGACATAATAATTCTTTAAAACATATAAACAAAGAGATGCGGCATTACAAGGAGTACACATACCTCTACTTTCTTAATCTGGTCCATTTCTTTTAGCACTCCACAAATAGTCAGTGGAGATTTCTCCACAAAGAGTGAAAAAGCCACCCAAGAGAGATTCCTCTTTGTCTCAGCTGAGAGTCCCACGAACATTTCGATTTTAGCTGTTTGAAGAAGCAAACTCTTCAGCCTGGGATTGGAAGCAAAAGCATCTGCCTGCAGCTCCAGCTTCGAGTTGTTGGACAACCTGATGTACTCCAGGGCAGGGAAACAGCTCACATTTAACCTCTGGATGTTGTTTGCAAAAAAATCAAGATGCTTAAGAGTGGAGGAGCCTCCAGGCTCTTCACAGCTGAAAGACGTGAGCTTGTTGTGAGACAGATTGACATTTTGAACCACTGGGAGAAAATGAAGTATACTTGATGAGATTGTTTTAAGTGTGTTGTAGGCCAGAAGAAGTGTTTGTAGACTGCTGAGTCCCTCAAATGCCTTGGGGTGGATGTGGGAGATGGTGTTTCTGGTGAGGTTCAGACAATCCAGGACACCTAGGCCTCTGAATTCTCCTCCTTTTAGAGAGACCAGCTGGTTCTGGCTCATGTCCAGGTCTTTGAGTCCAAAGATATGGCTGAATGATCCAGGTGGGATGTTTCTGATGTTGTTCTTCGATAGGTTGATGATTGTTATGTTTTTTGGGATTTGACTAATGACATTGGAGATGTTGGCAATGTGCTGGTTGGAGCACCACATGACATATGTCTGGGGGTAGTTCTGAGAACAGCCTTTAAATGCAAAACCACAGCAACTGCAGGCGTTGCAGAGAAGTAGGAACAGCACAGTTCGCCTCATTTTTGCTTGACAGCTCACAGAGGTCAGGCCCCAGAAATCTAAAATATATTAAAACAGTATAAACAATGGGAAAGTAAAACGATCTCACAAGTTAGCTGCACTTATATTTTCTTAAAGACAAAAGCACTTCAACCTGCAAAAACAGTTTTTTTTTGGCAACTTTGGGAGCAGCAGAATCAAACTGTGAAGACAACAGTAACATGCTGTATTATCAGCTGATTTTAAGTGAAGTTGTTACCAAGCAGTTTACACATCCAGCAGTTGTGGAGCAAGATGGAGTTCTGGCCACCTGCCCAGTTTAAGTCCAACATTCACTCTCTTTTAGCTCTGTTTGTTGTTGTTATATACTGTATTTGGCCCTTTAGCTGCTTGATGCCACACTATGTTCATCAGCTAAATGCTAATTGTGCCTGTCTGCCATTTGGTGCTGAGCTGTTCCAGGGCTATTTTACAACTTCATTGCAGAAAATGATACTATGAGGGCAGTAAGAGTGAATTATACCAGTAAATTTGACAACCTGCCAAAAAATGAACTGAAATTCACTGTATTTTTTTTTTAAGACAAGGGGAACTATAAATTCAGATGCCCTCTGAAAGGACCTCACTGCAAGCAACCTGTTTTAAATTATCATGTTGTTTTCATTTTGTCAATCATTATTATAAAAATATTGGCCACAGCCACTTTAAGGTTTCAGGTTTTCCCCAGTGTCTTCTGATGAATGCCTGGCTTTTTCTTGTAACTGCAAAGTTCTTGAATTGTTTTTGAGTGATTTTCAAATTGTGAATTTTCTATTTCTTTAATTCCAAGCATGGTATTGTCTAGTATCTGTTTGTACCCTTATTTTTATCCAACAAATATATTTTAATACAAAAATAATGTTACAACATACAAAGCAAATTTAAACAAATTTGTTCTGTTCTTCTGCCCTGACTCTTTCATCCAAACATGGAAAATGCCTTTAAATTTGTCTAAATACAAGTGTTTTTATATCATGAAGCACGAACCTAATAATTAAAGTAAAATATTACAACTCACCTCCTTCTGCTCACTTTTAATGTGTGCAACTGTAGTTCCTATGTTAAATGGTGTCAGCAAGTCTGTCTAACTAACACCTCTCTGTCTTTGAGGAAGGAAGTTGTTCACAGTTTATTTACATGAATGCATATCGATCTTATAGTGACCACTTTTCTGTGGTACTGATACAGTGCGAGCGAAAGAACTTTCTTCCCTTTTGTTTCTTTCGAGCACTGTGCTCATGCTGGCAACAGGGTGCATGAGCAAACTGGTCTGAATTTAAATCTGCAGTCCACATGAGGGAGCTCTCAGCTTGGGTCCTGCAGTTTGCTGAATCTACAGCACAGTGCATTGTTTTCCAGATGCAGAAGACATTTTTGCCAATTTGCATAGACAAAACTTTAGAGTAAAACTGTATTTAAAAAGTCTTGCAAAACAGGATCTGCATTATTGGAAGCCAATGCAATGTTTACACTTCTGTAAGAAAATCTAGGAACCATCCACCCAACTCAGTGGCATTACTGCTTTTCCTGTATTCTAGGAACAAAATGTTTGTTGTTGTTTTTTTTAATAAAACATTTTTTGCTGTGGTGCACATGTTCCTAAAGTCTTTAATATTTTCTATATACATTTATTACCACCTTACATTCAAATTATTCACAAATAATTGTCTGAATGTAGACATTTTTATATAAAACAGTCAAATTGGAGAATCAAATATCAAATATAAACTGGAAAAAAAAAGGAACAGACTCCTCTTCAGGCTGAACATCCACTGGAGGCTCTTCGGATACTGGCAGCTGACCTTTGCCTTGAGTGTGAGGGTGGTGAGGGGACCAGAGGACACAGGACAGCCCGGCACTGGGTGTCCATCTTTGGGGGAGACAGGTAGTCCTCTGTTTAGTCAGTGTGGAGCTCGCCTCCCGGGTCTTGACCTTTGCAGGGAGGCTCTAGGAGCGGAGGCACAGGTGACCCCACTGATGGCCGCCTGGCTCAAGGTGCTGCTTCACCTTTAGCACCGCCACCCGGTGCTGCCACTGTAGATCCATTTGTCTCTTATTAAGACTCTTGGTTTTCTTGTTCCTCATTCTGTGATCCCTTTTTATTTTCTTGTCCACTTTCATAAAAATACACCTTTTTGCTCTGTTTATTGAAAGGAATACTGTACATTGTGTATAATACATTTCCTTTTCATCAAGTCAGATGCTGCAGTCCACATGATATTATTCATATAAAACCATTTGACCTTTAAAATGTTTTACTTACATTCATTATTACAATATTTACAAATCAATTTAAAGGATTGTCTATCGGCATGTTTTTAATGAACAAAATTATTCAAATAATCCTGATGGAAATGATGAAGTATCGATGTTACATTTTTTAAATTTAAGAGAAATTCGCATTGTAACAATTTATGTCCTTAGTGTATTACAAATTCTTCTCTTTCAAATTATCATTCACTCTGCATTTTTCCTCTAAGGTGCAAAGTATTTTGTGAAGGTAAACTGAGAAGGGGAGTGACAGTCCACTTCCAGCCAGTGAAAGTCAAAGACAACTGCATTTGAACAACAGCATGGAGTTAGTTATATTACAGGAGAACAGCAGTTCAGTTGTCAGCAGCTGTCAAAGGGCTTGGAGGACACTGGGCCTCTCGCCGTTGTATGGACGGGGCCCTTTTTGGAGTTTTGGCAGAGGCAGAGATGTCAGTGAACACCACTGAGCGGCCGTCGGGGCAGAGCAGGACGCTGGAGTCCGCCTCACACTTTGTGGTTCTGCTTGGCCATAATGCTTCAGCTGGACTGGGCCTCATGCCGAGAACCTCTGTGTTTACCATCGACGCCTGACTCATTTTAATCAGCATGTCTAATGAGTGTTTGCGACTCTCCAGTGTCATCTTCATCACCTTCCTCTCAATCTCATCATCGTCTTCCTCCTTTTTCTCCTCCAGCTCCTCCTCATCCTCCTCTGTCTCTGTAGTGTTGTCTTTAAGGCTGCCATCCTCTCTCATGCCCTGGTCACTGGCTGAATTGATCGAATCCCTCTTGACCGACAGGTCGAGAGGGCCCTCACTCTGGCGAGCTGTCCGCTCCAGCGCCTCGTGGATGTGGGAGAGCTCGGTGCGGATTTTGCTCAGGTGTTCCCAGAGGTGGCGTTGGACGGGTAGGTCCTCCTTCTCCAGGTGAGAGATTTTGCGTTCAGCTTCCTGGTACTCCTGCAAGGCCTTGGAGAGGTCACTGAGGAGAGCAGCCACAGACTCCGAGGCTACCTCTCCCATTGTCTGGCCAGCAGTCCCGTCTTGGCTGTTTGCTCCCCCACTAGTTGAAAGAGAGGATGTTTCACTGTTGGGACTGGTGAGAGAATCACTGCACCACAGTTCAATGGGCCGGGTCTGAAGCTGAGCATCCTGCAGACTGAGGATAACAGTAATTTAGAAATGATCAAACCTGAAACCGCTTGAGACAATAAAGAAATTAAATAACCTGTACAAGCTACAAAGATGATGATGATACCTCTGCTACTCAGTCATGATTATAAAATAAGGAAAGTTATGAAAATCTTTACCTGCTCTGGAAAAGGAGTTTGTCCGCTGCTATATTAAGTGTCGATGCAGTCTGAATATTCTTCAGGAGGTCCGTAGTGAAGCCCATGGCTGGCTTCTTCTCCACAGGTGCCTCAAGATTTCCCAGTGGAGCCCCTGTCCTCTTGAGGCCCCAGATTGCTCGGCCTTCCTTGGTAGTAGCCTGCAGTTTATCCCCAAGCTTGTAGCCCTGCTCAGGGGAGTCTCTATGAGGTGACACCCAGCCACTGGGGGACACTGCAGTGGTCCCTGGCCGCAGGGCAGGCACTTTCCACAGATTGACTTTAGGCTGGAAGCCAGACAGGGGACTCGCTTCCAGACTGTTTGTGGGCATCTTGAGCACTTTGCTGGCATCACTCTGACCAGAGGCTGGTCCGAGTGTGTGCTCACACAGGAATGGGTAGTAGAGACGAGGGGGGATGAGAGCCCTGTCTATGGGTGTGCCAGAGGCTGAGTGCGTCAGCTGAGCAGCTGACGCCAAGAAGGGAAGCTGGGTGAGCTGTGCGTGGGTCTGGGCAGTGACACCAGTAGCAGCAGTGGGAATAGTTGAGTTCATATAGGAGAAGAGGCTGGGGCTGATGGGATAGCCTACCCCAAGCACTGATAGGTTGAGTCCAGTGGGATCCTGGTAGTCCACCAGGTTTGGTGGAGGAGGATAACAGGGAACTGAACTACTCACTCGAGGCTGAGCTCCTTCTGTTTTGGCCTTAGTGTGGCTGGACCCTAACAGCCGCCACTGCTCTGACAATAGCCCAGGAGCTGTTAAACAAGTCTTAGACAACTTGTAGTGTTTCAGCTGGGCCTCTACTTCTATTGAGCGTGCTCGTAAAATCTGATCTTCCAGGGAGAGCATGTCAGCCATCAGAAGCTCTGACTCTGGCTGCTTGGTTTTCTTGGTAGCACACTCTGTACCATCTCTGTTGCTGCTGTTACTGGAGCTTTCTTTCATCAACCCAGTGAGCTCAATTCCCTCTCCCCGTCCTCCCCGTCCTCCCTCTTCTTCATCTTGCAGCCCACAGATTTCTCTGTTCTCTCCTTCATCCTCCACAGCCTTTTGCTGCCTCTGTCTCTCCTCAGTCCGCATTACCTGCTCTAGCTCATCTTTCCCAGTAGTGTGGAGACCATGTACCTGCTGAAAGGCTCGTAGCTGTTCCGGGTGTATGATGTTACCCTTTTTATAGGGCCAGTCTGACTCTATGAGCAGAGACAAGGAGTTCTTGCACAGGCTGTATTTCATATGGTTGTAAAGGTGGGACTTCTCCATGCAGGTGAATGGGCACTGGAAGCATTTGTAGTTGTAGGGTTTGCCCCATGGCCGGGGAATATAGTGAGGCTTCTTGGGCTTACGCTCCTTGTGTTTGCTGGCAGATGTCACTTTGCATGCGTCATCCTTAGACATGATTGAGTCTTGAGGTTTACAAAGATAGTATGATTTATTCAGATTATAATATTCAAGATATGTTTTTATATTTTCTATTTGCTAGGGAACATCTCATTTGATGTTGGATTTTTAGATGGATGGGGATGAAAAAAAAAGTACTGAAGCCAAATCTGTAAAACAAGCAAAACAATTTGATATCAGTGAATCTGCAGAACGTCAGCAAGTCAAAAAGAGATTAGGCGTGTTATCTTTCACCTCTACGTATCACATTCTTTACTCCCTTTTTCTATGCAACTGAAAAAAAGAAACATCTTGCAGATATTAAGTTCTGAAATCTCAATAAAGATCAAGTTGTGTGTGAACTGAAGAGTGTTCTACATCACTATGAACAAACAATATGAGAGCACATTTATTGTTTGTCTCCAGTGAGGGTTGCCACTAACTTAACTGCAGGGAGCCCACACTGCTCTGGTCTCACTGTACCTGCCACTACTCATTAGTTCCAATGCATCATGGGGGACTCCTGTGCAGGGGGCCCTCACACTACAGGCCTACTTGAGTTTAGAGGCATTGTCCTCGGAGGCCAGCTGCAGGCACAGCACGGCCAGGCTGAGGGATGTGTAGAAGCAGGTATGTGAGGCAGAGGAGTTGGGGGTTTGAGGCCTGGGTCCTAATGAGAGCCTGGCATCATGCCTATAAGGCATCATTAGTGCCAGAACTGGGATCTAGGTCAGGACATGGTGCATAAGTTTAACTGCTCTTGTGTACCATGTCGCGTTTTACTTGCTCTGTTTGGAGTTAGGTCAAACTTTAGAACTTGATAAACAATAATAAGATGGATTATGGGAGATTGTCATAATGATTCTAAGTGTTGAATGAGATATGAACTTTTAAATACTGATATTTTTACCTTTATGTGAAAAAAAAACCTATCCTTCCTAATCATATCATAAAAAACTGGAATTCTACAGCAACAGTTTAGTTAACATCTCCCTGTTCTGATCCCATAAAATAAATTTAAATACAATAATAAACTTTTCTTTCATTAGTTAAGATTACAGAAAGTTTTTACACTTTAAGCCACGCTGATGGCTGAACCCTGCAGTGAAAGAAGATTGTGCTCCTGAATTTAAAACACCTTAAGTCTGTGTGATGTTCAGGCTCCAGGATGAGGTAAAATAAAAATCTTTACCTGTCTGACACAGATTAATCATGACAACATTTTGAGATAAAGGCCAGTGAAGCAAACACAGGTGACCAGTTACACCGACAAACAGCAGACAACCTCATCTATAAAGCTATACAGCTGCTGCCAGCTGCTCTCCCACTTGGACCCTGAGAACTGGCCCGTTAGTGGCCGACCATTTGATTAGCTCACTTGTCTGCCCCAGGGCTCTGACCTGGGCTTTGAGCTCATAATGGAGCCTAACAGCTGCTGCTACAAGCCAATCAATAAAAATAATTTTTACAGTAGATTTTGTCCCTCTCCTGGCCACTGGTATTTGCTCACATCACCACTGACTGTGCACTTTGTTCCCACTGCTGCCCCATATCCAAACCCTGCGGTCTTGTTTTAAGCTTTTAGGGCTGACGATCAAACAAGCCTGACCACTTGACCACCGTTGCAATTAAGGAGATTCGCCACATGAAAAACTTTGACAAGTTACATGCAACATCAAGCACACCACTGACAACCTGTGAGACTGTACTATTTGTACAGTAAATAAATGCACACAAGGACTGGAAATGCAATCTGTTTTAAATGCTACAGCTTTATAAATACAGCATGTGTTTAAAATTAAATACTTTACCTAAAGTCAGGATGATTAGTTTCTTGTCTTGTTCTTAGAAGAAATGTCTTCTGCAAAAGAAAAAAAAAAAGAATTTAGATTTTGAAATTCATTGTCATTTACCAACTTAATCTCTTGCTTATCAGCTTTTTGTATTTAATTTTCAATATAAGAGGTCTTAGTTTGATTTAGCAAATTTTAGACAAATGTTTTCTACAAACACAAGTCGTACATTTATTTATTTATTGTACCAATAATGAGAAGTTACTTACTGGCATTTACATTTGACAGCAAAACACCAGATGATGCTGTTGATGATAAATGAACACAAGGTTTCATTATTCCTGATTAAAGTAAAAGTAATATGCATGAAAACTACATTTTATATTAATGTGCCAATGTGGAAAATCAGTGACTATCCAGTCTAGCTTCTGAACTTGAAAATGAAATAAATTTAATTGCATTATATTCCCTACAGGTTTGTGACCAGATTTAATCTCAGAATAAATACAATTGCATAAACAAGCTTACATTCTGACCTTACACTTTAAAATTAAATCTGTGCAAAATAAAATCAAGCAAACATTTTCTCACTGCAAGCTAAAGCACAATGTACAGCAGGCCTATTATTATAATCCTTTTAAAATGATCTTAAACTAACCTGCTTTCATGCCACAAGCTGCTTGAATGTGGAGAGGAAATGTATTCATCCATACCTCGAGAGCGTCCCGGTGTGGCTGCCTGTCACTCCTCTGCAGTGGCACTGAGAGGGCAGCGCGTCCTGCTCAAATGGGAGCGCAGGAGGGAGTGTTGAGATATATATTGACTGGGAGCATTACCCCCAGGCACTACAATACAGCCCCCCCGCCCTCCCATCCACCCTCTCTCCCGCTGGAGTGTCAAATGTGGTCTCTACCTTGCAGCTTGGATGTAATATAACAATTTACACAATACCAGCAAAGGTTAAGGTAGCGACTTAGTGATGGCTTCTTGTGTCAGGCGCTAGACATGAGGAAATTTTAAAGCTAGCTCCATGTATGTTTGAAGTGTTTTTACACCAAATTTCACACCAGCATCCAGTGCTGAATACTGAAGTTTAGCTTCAGTTTTTATCCGTTTTAAATGAGGCAATTTACAAAAAAAGCTATTCAAGAAAAAGCAGAAAGAAGACCTTAAATAGGCTATTTGCAAAAAATGTATTAATAATTACTTAATCTGCTATCTGATCAGTCTCTGCAATAAAAAAGAAACTCCAGAAAACCAGTCTGTTGTAAAATCACACTCCTGTACGTTAGTTTATTAAAATGTCTATACAGTGTAACTGTTAAAATTTCAGTTCACATTTCTTTCATAATTTTTATTCTATTTATCTTTTTACCTTGTAATTAAAATATAGGCCTTTAATTTTAACACAAGTTGATTAGAATTAAACAAACTGTATCACCATGGGTATCAACATGAGGAAGAGAAAGGCTCCTCACTTGCCATTTGATAAACTGGACATTTATCTGTCTTTGTGATTTTCAGTGCATTATATTTATACCAAATATTATTGCAACTTTTTAGTTAGTCTTGCTACACAGGCTGTAGGCTGATAGTAGGTTTTATTTTTACAACTAGAGTTAAGATATTAGTATTAATGAGAGTCAGTTATTCTAATACCCTGGCTGAATATGGGGGGGTATCAATGAAACAGGCATGAAAAACTTTCAAATGCTGAAAGATGACCTGGTGAGATTATAATCTTGATTATTTAATCTTTAGTCACATCATTCCTGATTTAAATCAAACTATTACCAATTTTAGACTACCATCTATTTCAAATGCATTGATTTGGTCTTCTGTGATCGAATCGGTGATCAGTGCAGTTCTGTGGTCTGCTCTCTAATGGAATGAGTGTTTGAGTGAGATGCAGGCAGAAAGGCACTTTGGGGTGGCTGGGGTTGTGTCCGCTGCTCTTCGCCTCACCTGTGTCACCAACACGAGGCAGGCAGTTGGGTGTTGTGTGTTATGGGGGCTGGAGCAGCAGTGCAGGGCAGTATATGGGTAACTGCAAGATCACATCTGCAGCCAGTGACTGACATATGTCACTTCTGACGGTTCAGACTCACTTCTCTAACTCTTACTATTTTTGTCCTCTTCCACTTCAGTTATCTTTATTCTTTGTTCATTCCTTTCTCTCCACTCTCTCCTCATCTCCTCCTCCTTTCCTCTCATAAAATCTACTTCTAACTCCGACCTCTCAATCTCTACTCTCTCCTCCTTTCTTTCTCCCTCCATCTCTGGGTGTCTTAGCCTGTGGCAAGCTTTGGGTCAACTCCAGGTTCTTCATTTCTTTCCTCTGGCTGGGTGGGAAGCGTGCATGCGAGCCCCCTTTGAGAAATGTCAGTGTCCGTGTGCTAGGAAAGTCAGGGGCCCTTCACAAGCCATCAGGCCTGCTGTCACACTGAGGCAGCCAAATGGAGACTGACAGGCCACTCCATAGAGCTTAACCATCTGTACCAAATGTGACAGCAGGGGAAAGAGGATGTCTGGTAAATCAGGAGGAACGACAGGAGCGCATTATGACAAGGAGGAAGAGGGGAAGGAAGAGAGGCATGGGAAACAGAGAAAGATCCTTCGCTTCTTAAAGCACAGGCACATGGGAGCTGATGTCAGTAAGGCTGTTTCTCCCCAACTACAGAGACACACGGTAGACAGTGTCAGTTCCCTCTGTTAAGTGCATGTATGTTAAGGGAGGACTGACCTCTTCAGTGCTGCCTTTTGTCCCCTTTGTTGCTTTAGCCTGATGTGGTTGTTGGTATTAGAGATTCTAAATGTTTCGGCAACATTATTGATTGGAACCAAAATGATCTCTCACAGTGATAGTTACAAACTCCTCCTTTCCTCCTAGCTAACCCAGAAACACTGGTGTTGTGTTTCCATTATACTTTCATTTATTTTGAAAGCGCAAAATCTGAATCACTGCTTACAGTTTGAAATATAATCTACCAAATATGGCTCAGTGAAAGGATTTGTTGATTGATTTTTGTGAAAGGTTATTAATGACTAATCATTTAATGAAATTGGTATTTTGTGACGGCTGTTTGGATCACGATATTTTGTAGTGTTGATTTGGCCAAATCCCTTTGCTTTATTTTATTTTTTGCACATGTTTTTTTCTGTTTACTTATAACTAATCAAACTAGCTGTGGCTTATTCCTAAATAATTCCTTATAATGATAAGAC